AAAAAATCTTAAAAAGCTTTCAAAACGTTTGAATCGCATACGGATTTTTCGTTTTCCTGCTGTTTTCTCAGCAACCAAACACATGCAAACTTTCTTGCCTTGAAAAATTAACAAAATAATTTCACTTAAAAAGTAATCAAACAAAAAGTCTCATCAGTCATCAGCTTAGATAATTCGCAGATTTTTCACTTTTAACAAAACAAAAAAAAAAAATCCTAAAAAGCTTTCAAAACGTTCGAATCGCGTACTGATGACTTTTCGTTTTCCTGCTGCTTTCTCAGCAACCAAACACATGCAGACTTTCTTACCGTTGTTTATGCATATGAAAATCAAGAATAAGATGAAAGGAGAGCAAGAAAGAGGGAGTACCAGATCGACGGACTCATTCTTGATCTCCTCGAGGCTGATGGCTTTATCGCTGGCCATGGTGGAGGCTCAATTGGAAGAAACGGTGACGGAGGGGGGGTGAACAAGATTGGAAATGATCAAGAACTGAATTTATATAACAATTGGAGAAATGAGGGGTGCGGCCTCTCAGAAAGCCATCATAAAAATCAACTAAAATTACTGAAAAGTCTACGGGGAGGTTTTCACACCGTTTTATGGACGGAAGGAAGGAGCTATCCTTCAGTCGCTGCCTCCATTTATATTGCTCGCCTTGCTTGCTTGGGCAACCGCACTGGGCCCTTTATGTCACTTCGGCCTCACGCGCCTGATGCTATTCTGACCCTGGGGGTGGGCAAAAACCGGTTTCGGTTGAAACCGAAACCGGTTTTAAAATAACCGAAAAATTTTTTCTTCAATTTTAAGAACTGAAACTGAACCAAAGTTTTTACAAACCAATCAATTTGGTTACTAATAAAATCGGTTTGATTTTGGTTTTTACTAAATAAATATTGATCAATTTTTTTCGATAATAAATTATATTTTATCTTATATTTTATCATATTTATTCAAATTTTGATTTTCAAGCAACTCATTTTTTGTTTTTAGTTTGTGAAAAATTTAATCAAAACCGAACTAAAATTTATTTAGTTAATATTAAAACAAAAATAATAAAACTCAAAAACCATTGAAATCGAATTAAATTCATTTTTTCAGTTTGATTTCCGAGTAACCCTTCGATTATTCACCCGAATACTCACCCCTAGTTATTCAAACATCAGTGATTTTTATTGCTTATTTTCTCTTAAAATAATTATTTTAAAATAATTTTTATTTAATTTTCATTTAA